ATAAGGAGGAACCCAATAGAGGGATGCTTTTGGAAGCCCTTGTCAAGAAATTCCAATGCACTCTCAAATGAACATTTGAAAATTGCCCTGTACTGACTTTTTTCTAATTCCCTGTCTAGAACTCTTGCCTTTACTTCTCCTTCACAGCTCCTAGTCAAAATTCAAGGACTTTCTTTCCCCCTTAGAGATAAGAGTTATGTAATTTGGGATTCTTTTAGATAGACCCACTGAAGGGATACTCCAACTGCCACACCCTGCGTCTCTGTTCATCATGGAAGAAGCCAGAGCGGTCTGTGTCCCTATTCCCTATTGGCAATTTGGGTAACCCCTTCAGAGGATGGCATGATAAGAATAGGAGGTAGGAATTGGCTAGGCAAATAGGATAAAAAGACCCCAAATAAAAGTAGCCAGTTTCTTGGCTAAAAGTCAAAATGTCCTTTGGGCCTCTGTTCCGAAGGCCCAAAAATGTCCAAAGTATTTGGGAGCTTGTATCTAATCCTTAAAAGATTTTAGGGTTACCTCTTTAGAGGGGGGGAATGTTAGAGTAGCCAAAAGCCCCATAAAAATAAATAAATAAATCAAAGAAGAAAAAAGTGATGGGGAGATAAGGGAGCAGTTGGAGGGGAGGGAGTGGGCATGGACTTGATCAAAACATCTTATATTTATTTATGAAATTCTCAATAAATTATTTAAAAATAAGTAAATAAATAAAGTAAATAAATAAAATAAATCTAAAAGAAATCTGTTGTATAGATTCCATTTCTATATGACAATATCTGTTTTTGTATGCACATCTAAAAAGTCTAAAGTAAGCCAAGCATGGTGGCTCACAGCTGGAATCTCAGCACTTGGAAGCTGAGGCCAGGGGCTCTCAAAGACTGTGAGGACAGCCTAGGGTACTTAATGAGTTCTCCTTACCTTCCACCCAAAAAATTCCAAATTACGATACTAATAATGGTTAACTTGGAAGGTGGGGTTGTATATGAATTTGGACTTTTGATTTCTGTTTTTCTGTATGTATTTTTGGTGCTTTTAAAATCAAATATTTTCACATTTCATATAACACATCTTGATTTTATTTAGAACTCCTCCTCTATGTGCACTCCCATAGCCTCCTCAACCACCACCAGATTTCATGCATTCTGTCACAGTGTCACAAATGAATACTATTTTTTTCAAAGAAAAGTATCGGGCTGGAGAGAATGCTCAGTTGTTAAAAGCACTGGTTGCTCTTGCAGATGACCAGGGTTTGAATCCCAGCACCCACATGGCAGCTAAGAACTGTCCACAACTCCAGTTCCAGGGAATCCGAAGCCCTCTTCTGACCTCCACAGGCATTGCATGACATGGGTGCTCTTACATACATGCAGACAATATACACATACACATAAAGTAAAAATAATAAATTATTTTAAATAAAAGCAATATTCTATTATTATCTTGTACTGTGTGCTGTATTTTTGCTATGGTATCTAATTAGTGATAGGTCAAGAAAAGGAATATTTATTTATACCTGGTATTTAAAGCACTGAGATTTCCTAGCTTCCATCTTAAAAATAGCCTTGAAATATTATGCTAGACAATATTAATGTGATAGAAGAGGGGGGAAATGTCAGTCTTAACTTTGTTCACCTTTAGAGAGCCCCCCCCCCAGTGTTTCAACATCAAAACAGGACAAAGAGAACAGGAGCAATAATTTCAAACAATGCCTTTTACTGCCAACAAAACAACCCACAAAGAGGCAACAAGGTCTTCCTGGTGAGACACCTGAGACCAACAGCCACACACAGATCTCCTAATATTTTAAGAGCAGTAACTAAGAATGCAGAGATTTAGCTCCAATACAGTATGCTTAAGATCGCTAGGCAGTTTTCCCTTTTTGGAGTTTAAGAGACAATAAAATAGATTTGGAAAAATTATTTTAAAGATGTAGTTTATAATCTATACTAGTATTTAAGGCATTTATGAACAGATATGAATGCAATTATACCTTCCATTGCTTAGGCATTTAAAAATCTAAATTTTCTCTGGGGCTCCAAGTTCTTTTATGCTATAAGTTATCTTTCAGTAACCAAGTCTGACAAATGATCTTCAGCATCCCTTCAAGTCTTACATTTTTAATAATTTCTGAAGGGCCACATTAATCACTATTTTCTAGATATAGCAGAAATAAATAACTGACAGATCAATACTTTATTTTAATTTTCGTGGAGCAAAGAATTACTTTTCATTAAAGTACATTTCTTTATGTACTTAAATACCATCACATGGAATTATGACAAGAATGCTTTTAGTAATACAATCATGCAATATATAACACTAAAAAACAACAGCCACACTGGTAATAGGTACCTGAAGAAAACTTCTAAACTAATGGACCCACCTGATGACTTGGTTGCAGTGGGCACACATGGGCGTTCGCTTGCCCGCTGGGATGTGCTCAGCTCTCTGCACTAGCGTGTCCTGGTCGCCTGGCTGAGGTGGCCCCACAGCAGAGTTTGCTGGGGTCCCCGCTCCTGAAGCAGCATTGTTTGAAATCCTTCCAGTAGAAGGTGCTGGGAGTTGAAACAAGAGAAAATCAAAATGAGAATGGGAAAAATGTAAATTTTTTCTAACAGTAAAACCATTAGGTTAACTTGTCCACTTATCCACTGATATTATAGCAAAGTTTTAACTTAAATGCCAGGCTATAGTTACACAGGTGAAGAGAAGATCAAGAATTAGTACATGAGAGTTACAACAGCTGCACGCATCTGTTTCCTTGTTTCTGAGAGGAGATATTGTTAGGTGACCATCACAGGTGACATAGTTCTATTTACTGAGTCATTTCTGTCAACTATTAATTAGACTTAATTCCAAATGTATCATAGGTACATCGGGAACCTCAGCATGTTAAAGATAAAAATGGACTTACTCTATTCTTTCTTCCAATTTGTATTCTCCAAGAGGACTGCACAAGTAGTTACTGGGCACATAAGGTCACTACCTAGACTCATTCCCTACTCCTCTCCCAACTCTGGTAATAACATGTTCAGAAGATTTCATGTTAGAGACAGTTGATGATTTTGCCTCCTCTTCTCTATTCCTACAATGCTGCCCTGTTTAGGTCTTCAATGTTTTCTTCCTGGATTAGCTGCTAAAATGTTTCAGCTCCCTTAAAATTCATGCTCCCTATTACCACTGAAGATTGAAATCATGGTGAACCACAACTCAATCAGGCGTTTCAAGGGTCTCCTGTTCTTTGACCAGTGAATGCAGTTCATGCCTCTCAGCACCGTAGAAGGGTCCCTCCAGGCATGTCTGCCTGCTCCACAACATCACTTTTCATCACTCTGCCTTTCACCTGGTGCTACCAAACTGCTTCACTTTTTCTTGCAAATATGATTATCTATGCACAAACTGTCTTTAGTTAGTAATGTCATTTTTCTACCCTCCCTCTAGTTTACATATCAACTAGTACTTATTATTTAATATTTAGCTCATAAGTGAGCTGTTTCAGAAACTCTTCCTGACCTTCATCTACCACGACTCCATCCACTATTTGTAACTATTTGTCCCTTATGTTTCCCAAATTTTCCATGAATGTCTTAATTATTGCTTCCACTACAGATACTTTTGATTTTTTTCCCTCCAACTACATGGTATGTTCCCAAGAACTCTTACATTCTCCAACTCATACAATCTCTGAAATGAATGACTAGATAAACTCATCATCACATAAGTGAAAGAGTGCAAGTGGTACTGAAACCAACACAGGGGCCTTCCCTGCACTACAGGCAACTGCATCTAACGGAAGAAAAGGGTACATATTTAAATGGTTTAAAGAGAACAACTTTTATGAAAATACAAATAATATAAATTAAAAGAATATATATATATATCAGCCACAGTCACTGACAACATCTATATTAAAGGTGTGATTAGAGCTATGCAAGATGAATTAGGACAGCTATACAGATGATTCTCCCTCATCAGAATAAAGCCTGTTTGGAACGGCAGGTCCAGAAGCTCAGCACATCACCCACAGTTCTGTGTACGGCATTCTCTCTGTAAAATGAAACTGTCAATGGTAGGAAGCTCCACTGCTGCCCAGACTTCAGCTGAATTGACCGGACTAGGAATTTGTTTCAGTTCTCTTTGGCTCACAGTTTCTCTTAATCAAATTGGAAAGAATATTGCTGTGGTATCCACCTGGTATAGCTTCTTCCCTCTCACAGTACAGCTCTCCCCTCACCTCTATAATTCTTCAGTTTCTATCCTTGCTACCTCCTGAGGCACCACATAAGCATTTTCCATGCCCAATTCAGCTGCCCTTACATTTCAACCTATTCTGCTAGATTATTTTTCCAAAAGCACTGCTCTGATCACATGCTCTTGCTTATAAAACTGTGCTGACAGCTGCTATCTTAACAGCATTGTCACTTAGCTTCTGTCCATCAATCACCAAAATAAATTTATATTTATCTTGTACAATCATTATTTTATTTCTTTTGGTTTTTTTGAGACAGGGTCTCCTTATAGCCCCAGCTAGCTTGGAACTCACTATGTAGACCAGGCTGGCCTCGAATTTACAGAGATCCCCCTTCATTTGCCTCTTGAGTGCTGGGATTAAAGGCATGCACCACCACACCTGGCTACAATCATTATTTTAAAGCACTAATTTCAATTTTTTAAAAACAATTGTGGGGGCTGGAGAGATGGCTCAGCTGTTAAGAGCACTGACTGCTCTTGCAGAGGACCCAGGTTTAATTCCCAGCACCCACATGGTGGCTACGAACCATCCTTAACTCCAGTTCCAGGGGAGTTCGATGCCCTCTGCTGACCTCCACAGCACTGCACAGCACGGGTGCACTCACATACATGCAGGCAATATACTTATATACATAAAATAATAAAAGAAACAAACAATTGTGATTCAGTATGATTGAAACCACTTTTTACTCTATGAGAACTATGAGTCACAGCACGTTAATAAGCTGCTCAAGGTCGCACAGCAAGGAAAGGCAGTCCTGACCTGGGGCAGTCTGCCTCCAGAGCTGTGTGCTCTTAAGCCCTATGCCATGCTTTTCTCAATGTCCCTTCTGAATGCGATACTTGGCCCTGCCTCTATAAACTTCAGCCAATGAAATGTCCTGTAAATGCTACTTAACTGCTCCATTCTGGAAGTTCATGTAAGTTTTCTTTTCTTCAAAGTCTCCTCTGAACATTACAGAAGTGTTCCCTTGCTCTTTTTAACATCTGTAGCACCGTCAGGATAATTTACTCAGTGCTTATCAATAATTCTGCTAATATCTTTTCTAAATCAATTAATTCTTAAAATGGGAACAAAATATATACTCCTTTTTCTTTTTGCTGCCAGAAAACTGCCTTCTAAATATAAAGTGAAAAAATAATGAAGTGGAAAAGGTTCAATTCATTTTGTTGTTTTTGCCTTTAACTATACAGAAAGATATTTTTAAAATGTGGATTAGGTTTAGGCTTTTAAATAATTGGAAAGTTACTAATTGGAAAATCTGAAAATCAGACCTCAAAGAGAACCAAACCCTTTCATCTAACATATGCCTTTATCACATTATCTATGCATAAGCCCAAAGTACTGAGTCATCCAGACATTTTTAAGCACTAAAGAGTGTACAGACTCTCCATCAATCACTGTACAATGGGACATAATCCATCTGGCTGGGCCTCAAGAGGAAGATACACAAAGAACTAACTTATTTAACCTGAGAAGTGAACCATAATCATGAAACCTGTGACTATATCCTAAACACAAATAAGCAGGCTCTGAATGCTATTGCTTTCTGTTATAGCTCCAGTAACCATGTTGGAAGTAAAGGAAATTCTCATACCTTTTTGCTGCTGCTGTGTTAGCACTCTGGTATGTACAAAAAGCTATGCAGGCTCTGCTAACTATTGATCCCTGAACAATTCCATGGCACAGTTATGTCCCATATGGATAAAGTACTGCTTCATTTATTCATACTGAATTGCGTACTCCTCTAGCACAGGAACAGGCCATGTCGGAACAGTCAAGTGCACCCCGCGGCTCTGGTCACTTAGCATAGTGAAGTGAGAAAACGAGGAGTTGAGAGGCAGAAACACTACCAAACAAGCCTTGTGTCCACGACAATTCTGTAGACAACTGCACCATTTCTGAAAATCAGTCTTCCATGGATAGCAGAAAACAACTGCTTCAAATTTATTGAACCAACTGTAAAAGGCATCTACACGATGACTTTATCTGTAATATTATTTTTCTTTTAGTTCTAATAAGACCATTATATAGAAGCACTGAACCAGCCACACGTCATAATATGGACATCTAAGTCACAAAAGCTATCATGAGTCAGTAAAATGTCACAACAAGAATTCTGGGAGGAAGCAAGCTTGATTCTAGATTTCCTTTCTACCCTTAATCCTGAGCAAATTTCATTAAATTTGGCATCTTTTGTGGGTGATCTCTACCCCAGTGGAACTTTTAATTTTTTTCTTTTGTAATCACAAAACTTATCATAAAACTCATCTAGAAATTCAAACCCACTAGCTACTCTCTAAACCACAGTGGTATCAGTGAGAATGTGTCTAAAATTGTAAAAGTTTTGAATGACACACATTCATACTTAATCTTCCCTTTTGTTTTTCAACAATATTATATTCAAACCTGTGTTTACAATGATTATTGCTAAATAAATTAAGCATATATTAAATAATGAGAAGACTATCAGTATACTAGATTACTCTCAGCAATGAAAAAAATGATTTGTTAAATTAATCAAGTAAAATATACCAAATACAGAGTAAGTTTACAATGATTCTTACTAAATAAATTAAACATATTTTAAATAATGGGAAGACTATCAGTATACTAGATTACTCTCAGAATATGAAAAAATGATTTGTTAAGTTAATCAAGTAAAATATACCAAATACAGAGTAAGTAGTCTGGTTTTAAAAATATCTGCCATGATGACATAGCTGAGAAACGTAAAGCAGCAGCCAACTCCTGGCTTACTACACATCAGTCTAATTTACTACATAGGAATGCAATGATCTCTTTTGGTCTACAGACCACTAAATGGAGATGAAGAGTTTTTAAAACGTTGAACCACATAATATTCATTAATTTAATAGAACACTTAGCTCTTGTCAACTAGTAAATTTTCATATCTTGAAAAGATAAAGCAAACATTATTTAATCTATAAAGATCTTAATTTAATTTCTCCTCAAATAGATTTATGCTTGCATTATTTAATAAATTAATTAACACAAATTTTAACTAATATTAATACTGAGGCTAGGTTGTCTTTTCTAATCACCTGGTCTCTTGCTACCAACACAAGTTTACCCAAATAATTTCTGCGTCAGTGGGTCATATAAGTCATATATTACTGGGGATTCATATAACAGATTGATACATAATGTATACTACTGTAAAATATGTGCTATGTGACAGTCTAAATGATGCCATTATTCACTACTTGCTTCATAAATAGCTGAGATCAGTAATGGGTACTTGCTACATATATAACAAAGAACTTCCAGTGATAAAGCACA